AGGGATGAGCTTACACAAAGGGGCGACATAAACTGGCATGACAATTAGCCAGCATTTGCTCTCCCAGGTGGGAATAATGATTGGATATAACTAACATGGGTACTCAAGGTATCTTCGGGTGCAAAGAATGAATAAAGCTTTGCTGCCAAGCTGCTTGAAAAGATGACATTTTTGGTTTGAAGCTTTTTTTTAATTAGTTAAGTGCCCAGTGTCCTCACCAGGAGTTGTTGGGATAGCAAGTAAGCACTCTCCAGATGGGTGGATAACTGACAAACCCCATTTGAGCAGCTGTTGTGCTGCCACATCTGCCTTCCACATCTGAAAAATGAACAGGCCAAGGAACGATCTCCTCTCTGCTCAGGGCAATGCCAAATACTATCCATGCTCTTCCCACTTTGAATTAAGAGGAAGATTTGTGGTGACTTTCATATGGAGCTGTGGAGTGTTCGTGAGCAAGAAACAAGCTGACTGCAGACTGAATTTCCAGCTCACATCCCCCTGGGAAACTCCCTGGGCACCGTGGGGCATCCGCGCCCATGCAGGCCTTGCTTTCTCACCCGCTTTCCTGAGCTCCACTGCCAGGCTGCTCCGCACGGATAGCGGGGCCGGGGCTGCAGAAACCCCTCCTGCATGGGGAAGGGAGCAGACGGCCTGGATCCCCACCTCTTTCGGGCATTTAGACATCCAGCTCACGGCGCGGTATGACACGGGCACGTCTTTCAGGAGGGGTGGTTACCATGGAGGGCAGGCTAACAGGAGGATGCGCTCTCCGGGCCCGCTGACGAGATGCCACTAACCGAACGGCGTGGGGTGTTCATGGGGCTGTGGAAAGGGCCTGACTAGCTCAGTGAGGGGCCCCAGCCTCATGGCACAGGTAGCGCCTGTTGCACTAAAACCACTGGATAAAACACCATCACTCACATCTGCTGGCTGCAATTTGCACAGATGGATCGATCTTTATCTGCCTCTGGATTTCAGTTGTGAATGAGGAAAAGAGCTCACTTGCACTTGTATAGCACCAGCACTTAAAAATCATCCTTCTTCAGCCTTTCCTAAGAATGGGAAAGACCCACGGAGAGTGTGAGTGTCACAGGCAGCATCTTTTGCTCTTAGCACACAACTCGCAATTCTGGCTCTGGCAATTCGGTGCAAGTCAGTGCCATCAACTTGGATTGAGTTTCTACCCCACTCCACTCCCCTTTCTCTTGCTGGAAACACCCCTACACACTATGAGGTGTGTGCCTAGCCCAGAAGCCCCGCTGCTGGCATTTTGACAGGTTGGGCAGGAACAGGTCATCCACTTAGGGAAACTGGCTTCTGCTGCAGACCCAGAGTATTAAGAAGTTCATGGAAGTACACCATGAACACCACAGTTTGTCCCTCTCTAGGCACTCAGTTTCTGCTTTCTGGGACATGCAGGCTGCCTGTAAGAGCCAAGCATTTGCAGTCTGTTGACTCAGGGTTGTAACAAAAGATATTGTTGCTTCCAGGGGAACCCACTGCCATTCAGTCTTAAAAAGAAAGGGCGATACCCTACCTCAGCGTCAATCCAAATCCTGCCGCACTCCCCTTGCTGCCACCAGTGTCAGCACCAAGGCCTACGGCGTTTCTTCAGAGAGAAATAACAAAAAATCCAAATAGGTTGCTGCCTGCTCAGCTGGGGACTGAAGAAGCTCTGCTTGCTGGCAATAAAACCATGCTGCTTGCCTATGGGGATGTCAGGGAAAAGACCAGTTGTATTAAGAATAGCTTCCTGCCGAGGCCTCCTCAGTATGTTTATGACAGAATTTTATGGACATGGAGAATAAATAACTTACCTTAAGAAGAGGAGACAGGGTAAAAAGCGAAGACAGATTCTGTCGGGTGGGAAGTGACTTCATCTAGGTAATTATCCATTAGAAGGCAGCAGACAGACTTCGGGAGGTGGTGAGAGAAAGCCCTTCTTCCCATTCTGACAGCTCTTCCAGGCCATCTTCTCAAGTAGGTGACCATGAGGGTAGAAAAGACCTGCTCTATGCCCCTGTCACAGCTGTGTGACATGGTGAGCGGTGAAGGAGTATAACCACGCACCAGAACCCTGTATCCAAAACACAAGTGTTTCTCACACCACAGCTCTGGCCCGGGGCCAAAGTCTTTGCTTCCAGATGGCTGAGCCTCTGCAGGCTGAGGGCATCCTCAGCGGAGAGCAGCCACTCAGCTCTGCCACCCAGGTCTGCCCCACGGCCCTTCAGTGCCATCCTTCCATCACGGCAGCTGCCAGGCACAGTTTTCTGACCACTTCCAGTTTCACCAGGCCTGCCCGTGAAAGGTATGGGCTTGCAGAGGCTTGTGCACCTCACAGGGCTGTAAAAGTGGTGCTCACGACCAGACCCTCAGTGTGGTTTACAGAACAAGTTTTGTTTACTTCAGTTGACAAAGTAAAGCCACCAGCTTTAATCCTCCCTAGAAAACAGAACCGGGGAAGTGCATGATTCAGAGTGGCTTGGTGCAAATTTTTGCAAAGTGACAGACACAAAATCAAAATAATTCAAATTACACATCCATGTAAAACAAAAGAAGTTCAAGTTAAAACCAGGACTGGATTCCTATTAGCCCTAGAGATGATCCAACAATATGTCAGGAAATAAATAAATCATACTCATTTTCACCATAAAAGAGGGCACTGCTCACTAATCCAAATGGTTTGGGTATTTACAGAAGGCAAGAGGGTTAGAGAAGAGATAGAAAAAAGAAAAGCATTCTTAAGAGGGAAGTGAAACGCTGCAGGGGGATCGCTTCCCCACATGCCTCACTGTGACTAAGGAAAGGCTTTAAATCACCACAAGGAGCCAAAGAAATTCCTTTTGAGCAGGATGCCATCATCTGCCCCAGGCTGAAGGGACCATGGCAAGGTGAGACCAGCATGGTCTCCTGGGTTTGGCGGTCACCACAGAGATCCTGAAGCTCTGCCCCAGCCCACGGCCACCCTAGGGTAGATGACAATAAATAAGTTGGAAGACAATTTATCCTAGAATCCATCTGAAGGGAAGCCTGCTTAAAGCCTTCCTGGCCTCTGTGTGCGCTCCAAGGAGGAGGCAGCCCCCACCACTACATCTCTGTTCTTCAACACGCAAGCACGGCTGGTGATCAAAACACTCAGTGTCTCCACCAAGGCCGAGAGCTGGGGTGCCTTAGGTGACTGCAAGGAAAAGGAGGCTCTTTCACGTGTCTCTTTCAACATCTGCAAACCGCAGGAGACAAAGCAATGCCCTGGTCACACTGCTCATCGCTGGTATTCGATGCTTTGTTCCCAAATAATAACCTGCTTGCTTTTTGCTGCATGTGCTACGAAAGCCAAATGCTGGCCAGGTCTGAGCTGTACTTTTGGGGCAGCCAGTGGAGCAGATGATGTCTAATGCCCAGCAAAAGCAGGGCAAATTCTGCAGTTAATGTCATAGCATGCAACAAAACATCCTGAAGGCCCATCCTAACCTTCTGTTTCCTTGTCAAGGCGGATTTATTTACAGTCCGTACCACAGGGACTAGCTTCAAGTGGTAGTGGTGTTATATCCATATTTTTAATGGGATTTGACATTTAAGGCAGCATTTCAGTTCACCTCTAAGCCTGTAATTAAACTTGCAAATCTGCTTAGCAAGAAATCAGGAGAGTATCCCAGGGGACTGCCCAAACAGATTGGTCCCGCTCCCACAGAAGCAGCACGGAGTACCAAGGGATGCTACAAAGCAGACACTGCAGACTGCAGCGCCCTGACAGCCACTTGCAAACTGGACCCACTCCTGATCTTCAAAATAAACCCAAAGACTGTAAAGCCGCCTCACAGTTTTTTTGTGGGTTTGGTTTTTTTTAAACTACTTTTTTTTTTTTTTTTAAAAGCCACACTGCGCCGAGTCAGATACCACTGGAGGTCAGGAGCACCTCATGAATACAACTACCAAGACAGGACTCCTTTCTATACCCTGCTGGCTATCTCTGGTCTCCCGAAAACTGCAAGTGCTAGAAGTACCAGAGCAGTCCAAGGATAAAATCCTGTTTGTCACCTCCTGGTCTGGGATCATGACAGCCCAGTGATGAGAAGCACCTGCACATCTTCCGCCCAACCTAAGTGCAGACTCTGCTCAGCGTCTTCTTCCTGAAGGAATCCACAGAGATTTCTCCTTTCATTGTGGCCCTACCACCACTGAAATTTTGAGAGCAAATTGATGCCAAACGCCAGGATGCTCTGACTATATTTTGTCCCCACTTTACACACCCATCCCTCCTTTACACCCAATTTACACCACCACCCCCAAAGAAATTACTGGAACCAAATAAAGTACACAAGAAGTACTTAGCTGGGAATTCGTGTTCTCTTTGGGTCGGGGCGGGGGGAAGGGGGGAGAAATCTGATTTGTTTGGATTTTGGACTTTCCATTCACGCCCATGGGAGGTAAAGTGAAGGATCTCCTTCTCCCACAAGCCACCCGAGCAAATGGTTTCATCCCCGAGTTCAGCTTTAAAGGAGAAAAACACAGTCCTCAGCCATCACCACCCCAGCACCGCAAGAAAAGAGAACATTTAGCACGGAGCTCTCTGCTGCAGGAGCAAACAGCAAACGAGCAGCACAAAGCTGGGAAAGATGGAGAAAAGCAGAGAAAGATGGAGAAAAGCAGAAAGAGTGAATTTGTGTCATACCGAAGAAACAGAAGGAAACCTGAGGATAAAGGATTTGGACTAGTAAAGGAAGAAAGTTCACATAAGGTAGACTGTGCTGTTCAACAGCAAAACCTTTGCAGCCCTCAGTGCTCATTTGGGAGCAGTCTGGTACCTTCATCAACAATGATCCCAGACAGGCAGGAAAAACAAATCTAGAGGGCATTCCGAAAGAGACATAAAATCCCTCAAGGCCATTTCCATGACATGAGCAAAATTCGAATTTTCCTCTTTTTTTCCCAGGAAGGGATGACAGGGCACTTTGTCCAACTTGGTGCATACAGTTCTCCTCTCCTCGGCAAGACTTGTTCTAGCTGACGGATGCGCAGTTCAGCTCTGCAGGGTCCTGCCTACCCGCTGCCATGACTCCCTCTGGCCCATCGGCGATACTGGGCTCACTGGAACACTGCCTGTGGCTGAAACTGGGCTGCAGGATGAGGCACTTGTCGGTACTGTCTGACTCCTCGATCACCATTCCTGTGTGCATCATGGAAGCCATCGCCAGGAGCTGAATATCTGAGTGAGCATTGGCAACGGTGTGGCGACGGATGCTACCGCATTTCTCCAGGTAAGCCTCGCCCTCCTGCTCTGTCAGTGGGGTCAGGGCCATCTCCATGGGCTGCCGGCTCGTCAGCATGTGAGATGAATAATTCAGTACACCAGGCTTAGGATGGGATCTGGAGTGCCGTCTCTCTGGAAGAGAAGAAGGAAGCAGGAACGGTCAGCAGGCCACAGACAAATCATCACCTGAACTGCTAGGCTGGCCTCAGGGAACAGAGAGGACTCTGTGTGCAGCCACAGATCATCCCATCAGCACCAGGGAACGGTTAGGTGCTCATTAGTTCATACTGGGAGAGAATCACAAGGGTCTGACTCTCCCCTGACAAGAAGACACTTCTCATCCTGCTGTAAGGCAACAGTGCTGCTGCCTGTGAGAGAAATGAGCCAGAAAGTAACAAGTGCAGCAAAAGGACCTTCTTCAGCATCCTGATGGTCTCCTCTCTTACTCAGCGGGGTGAGGACCAGGTAGAAGATCTCCTGTGCAGGTTCACTAAAATCAGTGACACTGAAGTGGCACAAGTCCCTAAAGAAACATCCGGTGAGTTGCTCCTTTTCTTGAAAATTTCTCTCCAGACGTGCTGTTAGCTGGTGTCAACATGAAATTCCTGATGCTTATGTTGCATCTCCAGCTGCCACAGGAAAGGTCGCCATGTTAGATCGTGCCACTGTATTTTTTAAGGATTATGCAAGAAAAAGAACATTTCATCCACTTTAAAACAAGTCTGGGTTTGGGGTTAGACACTGAAAACATCTAACAGTGCACAGCAACAGCCTGTGACAGCCCAGGGAAAAAGGTGCAGAAGAGCAAGGCAGTGTTTGTGGAGCACGGGTGAAGGCAGTGATGCAGAATGGATGGGTGCAAGGTCTATGATCTGCTCGGCAAAAACATTCAGGACGGAAAAAACGCCCAGTTTAAAACTCAAACCCGTGGCACAGTCCCCAGCCCCGCATCATGAAGCACCATTTTGATTCTAACACTGAAAGCTTCAAGAAAAGCAGGGGTCTGAGTTTGTGCCTTGGCTTGTTGAGTCAGACAGCATTATTTTTCACCTGCTGCCTTCCCCCACCATGCAGCATTGCCATGTGGTGTCAAACACCTCATGTGAGCTACCCCCAAAGCAGCTGATAAAGCAATGCCCTACCTCTCTCTCTGTTTCTCACCTACTTCCTTGAAGTACACGGTCTCATTTCATAAAAGCAGAAGTCTTTAGGCCATATAAAATACTTCCACCAAGACTGCAGAGCATCAGAGAGAGAGTAACAAAACAAAAAGCAAAGCACTCATCATGGAAGGCTATTAAAGAGTTTTGGAAGCTTGCATCAGGAAGAAAGGCAGCAAAAAACCCTCTACATTGTTTCAGGGAGGAACAGGTGAGCACCCAAAGCTCCACCACTGGCAGCAGCCAAGCTATGATAACACTTCACCTCACTGCTGCCAGCAATACATTCATTCAAAACGGTTCTTTTCAGGCTTTAGAGTACATGCAAATAACTTTGGAGGGTGGTTATAGTAAATATACTCTAGGTACTACCTGCAGCTCAAGCCACAGCAAGCTGTAGTGTTGGTGAGCACTGGGAAAAAGTAATTTATGGGGGGAGCCACACAAGCATCCCTCTGCTCTGCACCCCTCCATACAGGTCCAGCGGCAGGCGAGCATCCTAGCACAGCACCAGCATCGCCAAATCCTCTGCACCACATCAGCATCCTGCTGCTGTCTGCGCCTGGGTCTTGGAAAGTTACCCTGACACAGGCATGACCAAATAACACCGGTGGGAGGGGATTCTCCCCCTCTACTCTGCTCTTGTGAGACCCCACCTGGCATATTGTGTCCATCTGTGGAGCCCTCAACATCAGAAGGATATAGACTGGTAGGAGTGAGTCCAGAGGAGGCTATGGAGATGCTCAGAGGGCTGGAGCACCTCTGCTATGGGGACAGGCTGAGAGAGTTGGGCTTGTTCAGCCTGGAGAAGAGAAGGCTCCGGGGAGACCTTATTGCAGCCTTCCAGTACCTGAAGGGGCTACAAGGGTGCTGGGGGGGACTTTTTACAAGAGCCTGTAGTGACAGGACAAGGGGTAATGGGTTTACACTGAAAGTAGGGAGGTTTAGATTAGATATCAGGAAGAAGTTCTTCATGGAGAGGGTGGTGAGGCACTGGAACAGGTTGCCCAGAGAAGCTGTGGATGCCCCATCCCTGGAAGTGTTCAAGGCCAGGCTGGATGAGGCTTTGAGCAACCTGGTCTAGTGGAAGGTGTCCCTGCCCATGGCAGGGGGGTTGGAACTAGATGGTCTTTAAGGTCCCTTCCAGCCCAAACCATCCTATGATTCGGCATCATGAGCAGTAGCTGCTTTTCCACCTTCACCAGCTTCTCCACTTTTGGCTGCTGTGAACAAAGTGAAGCATTGATACCAAAAGAGAGAAGCCAGTGGTGGGGGCAGTTTTACACACTGGCAACGGGACTGACCCAGGCTGAGATCTTTAAATGCATTTAGGTGCACGTCTCCTGTCTACGTTAGGAAGTCGGACAACTTTAAGAGCTGCTCAAGCTCTTGGGCTGAGAGGAGAAAGAGTGCTCGGTAGCCTCCTGACGTGAAGGTTCATGGCACTCCCCCATCCCCTGATTTAATATTTACATATGTCTATCCCGCAGTGGCTTCAGCTGTGCAGAGGTGTCTTAGCTAACCAGAGAGATCTGAGAATATTAAACTGAACGGGGCTGTGCAAAACACTGCCAATTTTCCAGACTCCACAGCTGCAGATTTCTTGGGCAAGAGCTGAGTCTTCGTTCTTTGCTGTTCTTATACAAGACATTCAAAAGGAAAACCTGCTTTGTTCAAACAGGGACAGCTTGCAGCTTTCCAAAAAGCCAGGATACACAGGTAAAGAAAAATAATCATGGCCATGGCCTGATGTTTACCTAATACATAAATAAAATATTTCCATTAGAAAAAAGTGCCAGTTTTGTGTGTAAACTTTTAGTGCTGCTGAGAGCAGCAAACCTGATGACCTGAGAGGTTAAAGTCCACTAAAAGGAAACATAATATAGAAAGCAATAATACCAAAATATTCCTGCCAAGCCTGTCAACCCTGCCTTTACAGGAACTTGCAGAGACCCTTTTCTGTCATGACCTTGGCTGCTGTGGTAAAAGGGTCAATTAGTATCATTAGTTAGATCAACTACCACGGTAGTTTGCAATCCAGGCAGTCTGTACCCATCATCTCAGAGGCTGACACAAGATGTATGTACCTGTGTGCATGTTTGAACGGGTGTGTACGTACACACGCTGACTAGCAGACTGCACAGAGCTGATGCACATGCCAGTGTTTCAAAGCCTGACATCATGCAGCTTTTGAATATAATCAGAACCCAGATGGGGAAATTGTAAAAACCTGCTAGTATCGAAGGAAACACCAACAGTAATTCAGAAGACCATACTCTTCCCCTGAGACCTATATCAGCCTGGAAACAGTGGCACTGCACTCCCTCCAGCATGCAAAAATGAAGCGGAAGTTTGACTGTACTGAAGTAACTGCTTTAACCCAGGTACCCTGCAATGAGCTGAGCCCAGAACTGACCAGAGGTTGCAAACCCCCCCAGGAGTCTGAAGGGGTGCACAGGCAGCGTGCACCGGGGCTCGTGCTGGGGGGCACAGCTGCTGTTCGCCTGAGTCACGCATGAGCATGTTTTCGCTGAAACTAGACCCACATGTAGGCAGCCTATGCGTGGCGTGTTTTTTAAGTAGGCAAGCCAGCGATAGCAGTTTATCCCCAGTGCATACTTCAGCGTGGAGAAACTTTAACTCTTCTCCTCCCTTTTATTGTGTTACATCCAGGCTGCTGAGTTCTGTCACTGAAATAACAGCATTTCACCATACTCTTCCTGCCACCATGACCTTTAGAGGCAATAAGGGTGCTGCTCAGACACTGTGCTGCAGATACAGCTGAATGTGAAACGCTGAAGTGGACAGCAGAAGAGTTAACCAAGTGACAGAAAAGGCCAGTTTTGAAAATTACTGAAACTCCCCTTAACACAGCCATACCCATAAACCAGGACAATGCTAGCACTTCACCGATGGGCTCGGAAACCTGACTGCTCAATTACCTGAGTGCCTTTGATAACAGACCTTCATCCGTGTCAGTCCCTGGCCATAAAATTTCACAGAAGTTGGGACAGAGGAGGGAGGAGGAAGGTGGGGTTGGTGTGAAGTAAATGGAAGAGGTTAAAGGACAAAGTGCTCAAATTTTATCTGATGTAGCCACGGGAATTACCCAGCTTCACAGCAGCACAGGAATGGTCCAGCATCCTGCTGTCACAGCAAAATGGGTAGGACCACAGTGAAATGTGTTGGAAGCACACATGACAGAGCATTCAACGGAAGAAGTTAGAGGAATTCTTTGCTCTCCTCCCACCAGCAAACATTCTTTCTGAAGTTGTAGCTGCAATAGCTAGAACTAGGAAGATTCCCTGGGCAATTACAGGAGGCCAGGTGCTGCATAGCTAACACAAGAAGAGGAAAAGCAGTTTGGTCACCATCTACCAATACTATTGAGTCTTCAGCTTGACTGAGGAAACAGTCCTGGCTTTTGACTGATGAATTTGCTAATTCAGTTAACACCTGAGAGGTCTCTGCTCTTATTTTCTCCCCACAACAGTAACCAAGACATGCTTAAGACATTAGCAATGCTTTCTAATGCCAAGCGTGAGGGCTGCAAGAAACTGCACAGAGGAGTTGAGTAGCTTCCCCCAGTGGGGGTTTTTAAGAGCAGGTTAGCTGTAGAAATGGTTTACATATGACTGACCAGGTAGTGAAAGAGAGAGATGGACAGTGAGGAATTTCTCAATGTTTATTGTCTTCTAGTGAGGGATGACCTGACTCTTTTGAGGAAAAAAATATGCACAGGTGGGTTTTGTGCAACAAAATTAAAATCCTTTATGGTGAGAAGCGTGTAAAAATTAGGCTAAACTTGGAACACTCATTTATTGCTTTACTTTCCCCCTCTTAATTTTATGGCTGCAAAAGTTTAATCTCTTAAGGGAGTTGTCATACATAGTTTAACTGGAAGTTTCATTTCTATTTTGGTGCATTATGGCCAGGAACATAAACTGGAAGCAGTTTTTAAGGAATTTTATTTGCAAGCAAACTCAAATCAGCAGTGAGGCTAGGTTTTATACATGTGGGGAATAGGGAGAATGTTTTATCTTCTTCCCTATTCCCAATTTAAACATTGGACAACTGGATCAGCATACTCCATCCTTACAATGCAGGTTATGGCTGCTTTACACGGGCAAAGCAAGAAGGGTGGTAACAGAAGAGCAGATGGGAATGCTGCCCTCTACAGATCCCTTCTGTGAGCTGTCCTGTCCCCTTTTATCCTTGCTGCACTCCTCTCTCACTTTTAATCAAGTTTAAGATACCGCAGCCTTGCAGGCTGAAGCCTTGTGTCCTTTCACAGCTGTGATCAGGCTTCACGTCACAGTGGTCTCTGGTCCAGAGAGCAGTTTAGCCTCCACAGCATCTATGGAGAATGCCAGCACACCCGAAGCCCAACAGTGCGTTTCCAAAAAGCTACTGCAGGGAACCTACTGGGCTTTATCATCACTACAGCCTGCCCAGTGAGAGAGAAAACTGGTTCTGAGAGAGCAAAAAGGTGTCAGAAAGAGGAAAAGAAGAAGAGAAAGAAGCTTGATTAGGAGTGGGAGTTAAGGAAAAGAAACCAGCGTGATAGCAGCAGTTTGAAAATATCAAGATAATTTGCAGGAAAGTGCTGCTGTGTAACGCAAACACAAGTTTGTTCTTTCTTCCCATTCACCACAGGGTGGGGAAGGGGCAAAAGGCCACCTTGGAAATACACATAAATAAATGACAGCTAAAATCAAAGTAAATACAATGATTCTAAGGCACACAAACTTTACAAGGCCAGTTCATGTGAAATTTTTTCTTTAATGACACTAATGACTTTTTCAGCTGGCAGAAGTCCAGCATGGCTAGAAGCTTCAGTACAGGTCAAACAGCTACCTTTCAAACTATACAGCAGCATGCAGATGTCCATAAACAGCAAAACAGTTATATTTGTCAAAGCTCAACTTTTACGGGGCAAGGTAGTGTAGATTTAGCCTTGGGATCAGGTCTGCAAATCAATGCTGAACTGTATAGCCATGTTCACTTGCATAAAAAGTGTTTAATTTAACAACCACAAGAACCAAAACCCTGAGCTGCAGTTTGCCTGAAGCGATGCCATGAGTTTGTTACGGGCACAGATTATCTGGGTCCTCGTAAGTCCTTCTACCACAAGACCACCTTTTCCCTTGTTCTGCTAAGGTGTAATACAAGACAGGTTGTGTGTCTCCAGCTTGCTACAACTTGCAGTGAAACAAAGGCTAAAGCTTACAAAACCAGAGGGAGACTGGAGCTTTCTTTACTTGTTCTATTTAAATCTCTTTGACTATCAATTCCGTATCACTACACATGTTTCTTGGCTAGCTAATCTCTTCTGGCTGGCCACACATGTAAGCAGGGCTCCAGGATCATGTGTGGAGAAGTTTTCCACTATAAGCATTCTATTCCTGAAGTGACAGTTCTCCCACTGAGGCCTACCTATCCACAGTTTAAACACAGATGTTTGGGTGTTTTTTTACAGAGCCCTCAGATGAAAGGAAGATCCCATGCAAACCCCCCCCGTAATCCCTCAAAACGAGCATCCACCAGTTTTATTGTCTGCAAAGGCTGACTGCTGCAGCAGCGAGCATGGGAATCCAGGCAGCTGGAGTGGGCTAGCAAGCAGGGACAGAGAGCAGGCAGCAAAGGACCAGGTGCAGTCTCTCACCTGGGCTGAGAGCAGTACATCAGGCAAGGACCAGGGCGTTTTAAAATTCAGTCCACCTCCAGAGAGAGGGGGATTTTGCACGTGTGTGTGTGTGTGCTGTGGTGGGGCCATAATAGTTCACTTGGTCACGGAAAATAAAAAGCTCATCACCAAAATCCACACTCAGAAACATACTAAACAGGACCTTCTCAAGCGTGTTTTAACCTGAGTTTGCTGTCTTGCATGGAGTTATGCACTGTCCCCTTTTCTAGCACATTAACCAACCTGTGTACCCAAACAAGAGATTCTGTACAGTGCTCATGTCTTACCAAGCAAGCAGGTGCTACCAGAGAAGCTGTGATCCTCGCACAAACCCAAGTACGGCGATACCACCTGCTTGACCAGCTCTTCCAGCTGCAGATAGCCCTCACTGGGGCCAGCAGGCTCGTGGACACTCTGAAATTCAAACAGGAAAAGTCAGTGTTACTGCTACACAGATCTGAGTACGGTTGTTGAGTAAAGCCTGGAGTCTGTCAAATATCTCTGCACTGGAATATCACAGATACATTGGCAAGTCACAGCCATAACCCTGTGGACATCAAGCAGCCAGCTGTCTTTATTCTGACCAAGGGGCAGGAAGGTGCAAGACAGGCTCACACTGAGGATTTGCACGGTGTAACTACAGTGATATAGTTACATCGAGGCAGTTTTACCAGGACACCTCTCTGTAGAAAAGCTGTAACACACCTTGGGCAAAGCACTACTCTTTTCCTAGGCAGGGCTGCAGGAAAAGCACTCTCTGTAGTTCAGCTTACAGCTGTGAAGATGGTAGATAACACTAACCAATTTAACAGTAATTTCAGAAACCATTCACAGACTTAACTTCCTGCAAAGCCTCAGTAAGCTTTTCTCTCTCAAATGCATTGCTTTGAGACCCTCTTTGCCCTCTAGATTCTTTTATTAAAATATGTAAAGGAAATTGAGCTAGTACTTCAGTATCTCCTGTTATTACAGCGTGGGGGAGTGGGAACATCACAATGAGAGCTCACACAGAAACACCAGCTTAGCCACTTTGCAATTTTGATTGTACTTCAGGAAGCTCCATTCCCCACCACTTATTATAAGGGATATTGGAGAAGAAATAAAAGTGAGAGGAACCCAAACAGCCACCTTTAATATGGTATCTTGCAGGACTGTCAGGCTGGGTGATGTGAAAAGATAAAACAGCGGGTATAATTGGCTGTATGTGCCATGCTTGGAAACAGTTTTCTTGAGGTCTAGATAAAGAGGATAGTACTCATAGAAGGTCTGGTCTCCTGGGAGAGGCCTTGGGAAGATCTATAGCATTTTGCCTGCTGCCAAAAGGTATTCCTCCGCTCATGGGCACTGCTCAGCATCCCAGCCAGCCACGGGGCTGGTGTCAGGCAGCCAGCAGCCACACAGCTCATGCAGATTCCACAGTCCTCTGTGATGGAGCCTCACCCTGTTAGTGCAAAGCTGAGAAACCAGGAAAACCAGGGCACAAAAAGGCATTCAGAGAAGCTGGGAGACAAAAATTTATGTGGGGATGAAAGAAAAAAGAAAAGTCCTGAGACTGTTCCTAGCTGGGGAGGAGAGGTACCAAGAAAAATACAAACACCAAAGAGCACAACCCAGTCCTTTCATAGCAACATCCTTACCTGTTCCCATGAAAGCTCAGGACATTAAACATTCAAATTCAGCTCTCATTTCTACATTTATCACTTCATCACACCCTCTACCCTCCCCACCCTCCTTTCCAGGGTTCGTATCAGTTCAGTGATGCCCAGACCCCCAGGTGGAATCAGATTGAGAAGAGCAGAGGCTCCCCACCTGCAGAATTAACAGCATCTGGACAATGGAAGCTGGGAGCTTTGTCCGGACCAGAGGAAGAATTTCTTCCAACTTTACTTTTAGCAAGACCAAGTCTCTGAAGCCAAGAAGAGCAATCTGACGGATAGTCAACTCCTGACCCTAAAAAACACAGAAGGCAAAATCCAAGAGTTGGTAAAGGGACGTGTGACCATCGCACCCACACATGCATGCACAGAGACAGAAGGGGTCTATCCTGCCCATTGCTGCTGTGGCAAAGCACCCCCCAGCTACTCAGGTTGGGGATTCATGGTACTCTTTGGTTGCTTCCCTCACAGTCTCTTGTCCCACACAAATTCTGAAATGAGTAACACCCCATTTGAGGTGCCACTAGGTTTGGAGTGAAGCCAAAAATAGACCTGCATTTCAGCAAAAGGCTCTGTGTTCATGAAAACCAACTGTCATCCAATTTGGTCACAAATACCCAAAGCCCTGGATGGATGCTGCTCACGCTCTTGCCACTTAGAGCTGAGAAACCAGAGATGGTTTGGTAGGGCAAGAGGTTTGTAGAAAGTATTCCTTAACTAAGCCTACCTCTGGCCTGTATTGGAACCTCTTTTTGGTCAACGTCTGCACTTCAGACCTTGCTGCTATGATAAAAATCCACAATTCAGTCCGTTACCAATTTTTAGGATTTAGGCTAGAGCAAAGCTAGTGAGACTGCTTGTACCAAGCACCATTTAAAAAAGCAGCAGCACTGCTTTCCACTGCAAGGTGCTCCGTGTCCTCGCTGTTACTTTTTACATCAACAGCACAAGTGAGCAGGCTTAACCCATGAAGACGATACAGTATTTCTCACCATGTTTCAACTCTCCATTCAGCATTCTGGTGTTACCGTCTTCCCCTCTGCTAAGCTTAAAGTCCGCACCACTTTCTCTTGCCCCATTGCAGCTTAACAGAAGAAATTTTCCTACCAGCCCTGCCCAGCGCTTTCCAGCCTAAAGAATTTTCCTTGTTCTTCCAAGCACATTAATCTCTGCCCCGTGGTCTGTTTATGGTCTCTATAACACAATCAACATGGCAAATATTTAGCTGGAAGGAATTAACAGCAGTTAACCATTAATTCATAATGGGTTTAATGTCATAATTAACATTATCAATATATAAATATGAATTGAAGGTCTGGAGGGCAGCTTGGCCATAATAAAAGCACTTTGCTATTTTAGAACATCACTGCGTGTTTAAAAACACGGCAGTGTAGAAAAGACCGATACGTATTTCCAAACTCTACTTCAGCAGCTGCGCAGTTTTTATTTATATCATGCAGTTTAGTCCCATAACTTCATACCCCATTTCAAAACGCAAAGATCTCGCTGTGCCAAACAAAACAAGATTTGCTATTCTTTTTCCACACCAAGTAGTTGCATCAACAGCTGCAACTGTACAAAAGCCAGTGACCTGTTTACACAGTTTCCCTCTGCAAAGCAATTTAACCAACTCGGCTGCTTAAAGGTCATATTTCTGCAACAGCGATGAGCCTTGGGTTTAAACTTAGATGGGAAGCTACTTCTAATTACTACCTTGGGCAACATACGCTCACGCATCTGGCTGGCTTACTTTCATTCTGAATGAGCAGTTGCTGGGATCACAGAAGAGCACAACTAGATGATCATGTTGACATTTGCAGCAAAGGATGGGGAACCGACAACAAATGGACTTTCCCATCTACCAGGGCAGCACACGAGGAACTGCAACTTGGTAAAAGAGATCTGCTACATGAGCTGTCTTGAGACGTGGTGACGCACCGTATAAGTAGGTACACACACTTCCCAATGTGTTGGAAGAGCCCAGCCTTGTTACTGGAGCACTGGCCTGGGATAAGAGCAATCTCGATTCAGTTTCTTGCTGCACCAGCAACTCTCTCTGTTGTAACCTAAGGCAGCTTCCTCAGAGTCAGATTCTTGGATGTATTTAGGGGGCTTAAAGCCATGCATTTGTGTAGGACTTGCATGCCTACAAAGCTTCAAATATGCTGTCTGTTACCTTTCAGTTCCACATCTCTAAAATGGCAATACCTCTCTAATTTAACCGTTTCTATGAAATAGTTTTGAGTGACCCAGATATTATATATACAGGGTGATTCTGCCCCTGTACTCTGCTCTCGTGAGACCCCACCTGGAGTGCTGCGTCCAGCTGTGGAGCCCTCAACATCAGAAGGATATAGACCAGTTGGAGAGAGTCCAGAGGAGGCCATGAAGATGATCAGAGGGCTGGAGCACCTCTCCTATGGGGACAGGCTGAGAGAGTTGAGCTTGTTCAGCCTGGAGAAGTGGAGGCTCCGAGAAGACCTTATTGCAGAATTTCAGTACCTGAAGGGGCTACAAGGAAGCTGAGGGGGACTTTTGACAAGGGCCTGTAGTGACAGGACAAGGGGTAAAGGGTTTAAACTGAAAGCAGGAAGGTTTAGATTAGATATCAGGAAGAAGTTGTTCCCGGAGAGGGTGGTGAGGCACTGGAACAGGTTGCCCAGAGAAGCTGTGGATGCCCCATCCCTGGAAGTCTTCAAGGCCAGGCTGGATGAGGCTTGGAGCAACCTGGTCTAGTGGAAGGTGTCCCTGCCCATGGCAGGGGGGGTGGAACTAGATGGTCTTTAAGCTCCCTTCCAACCCAAACCATTCTATGATATTTCAACAAGACAAATACAGTAAGAAAGTTACGCTTTCAAAGAATCTCAACACCCCATAGCCACACTTTCACCACTACCAACATGTCAATTCCAAAAGCTTCGCTCACTGTACTGTAACTTTTGTTCAGTTTCTCCTTAGAGGCATCTAATAGCTGGGGAGTAGATTTTTCTGGTAAGTGGCAGAATTAGCATCAGTGGGTATGGCACGCAGTTAGCTCAGCTGTTTCCACAGAGCACAGATATCTGCAGTGCAGGCAAACCCCTGTTTAAATTGATCAGGTCACTCCCTGACTGAATCAGTTGCAAAAGGGGAGAAAGGGGTGATATACTTTTGCAGTTTTACCCACCAAACACCTACCTTTAAGCATCTGCAGCAAGGAAAGAGTAAAAATAAACAGAGTAGAAAGGTTAGTGTCTGTCTTTATAGAAGTCCGTTCTCTTATAGGAAATGCCAACTAATAGGATTAGAGGAAAAGGGCAACCTTTAAGCTTTATCTGTTGCTTTTCAAACAATACAAGGGAAAAATAATTTTAAAAGGCTTCAGAAAGCATGTCTTGTGGAACAGACAAAAGTCAAGAGGAGGAGGCTAGCATTTCCAAGAATGTCAGCCTTCTTATGGAGTACATTTTTCTTTTCCTCTGATGGAAGAGAAGATCAAATTAAGCTGGGAAGTCTGCTCATATGGAAACCCTGACCAAAACTATGTGAGAAAACAATACAGCTAAACTCTTCTGATAGGATACTCAGCTTTCAAAATACCCAGTGTAAACAGGTCTAACACAAAGTTGTTCATTCATCCTCTACCTGTAGACTTACTTTAACCCCTTATTAAAGCTTAAAAAAACCCAACAGAGGATTTTCCAGAGGCACAATTGGGACATCAAGCTCTCCAAAATTAGTTGAGGTGAGTTAAACACATTCACTCCTGATCTAGTCTTCAGCTTTGTCCTTCTGAAGACTAGTTGTCAGTGTTGTCATCTGCCCCAACGGAGTCCCAGGTATTTAAAAATGGAAGAACCATAAATGGCCCAGAGCTTCAGTCTAGACAAGGTACAGTCCAACAGTTTTGGTGTTGAAGCTTTGCTAATCACAAACAGAGAGTAAACAGATGGGAATAAATTCAGCCCAAAACACTGTGCTTGCCCAGTAGATTTTAGCAGTCCTCCTTACAGAATTAATTCTGACTTGGGCAAATTCTGCTTCCTCTCAGATTTAGTTTAAAGGTTGAGAGACCTGTTTAGCCACTGGGCAAACAGTGCTGCTGGATCAGAATGGAAGTTTCCATTCTGTCTGCCATTAGCAGACAATGAAGCTACATTGCCCCAACTGAGTGAAGACTGAATCACAATTAAGATTACCTGGACTGGGTAGAATATTGCCTGGAGTGTAGGAAGAGTCTCTGTAAAATAGTGATCCCAGATTTCAGACAGGACGTCAATGCGATCTTCACCTATGAAAACAGAGATTGGGAAGAAAGAGCTTTAGTGACAAAGACACCAAAATCAAGTTGAATTATCCCACTACTCTGTACTTCCTCAAATAAGAGCTAAAAAAAATCACCCTTCACATTCACAGTTTCCATCCGAAACTGGACTTCACTCACCTAAGCTTTGCCTTAACTGACAGAGAGACAAGGCCGTGATCATAAATTGCTCGGTCGCTTAGTGCAAAGACCACCACTCTGTGCAAAACATCAGACCAGCTCCAACACAAGAGTGGAGCCCCTCTTCAACCAGAGGCTTTGTCTCCAGAGCAAGGGATTGTGTAATCTCACAGTCAGCATGTTCAACTTGCAGGGGAGCACGGCCGCACACCGGCAGCCACGTCTGAAACCGGCAGGTCACAGCTAACCTCAGCTGTTCTGCAGCAACGGAGTCGGGGAGACCATTTGCAAGAGCTGGGCTCCCTCCAGCATCTCCCCGCTCCCAAGCATGGACCCTGATGAGCTGCAAAGCCATTGTGCTCCTCTCAAACGTGGCACTTGGGAAGGTTCCCGAAGGACACCCACTTGTGCCCACCCCTCATAGGACTCCAACTCAAACAAACATCGCCAAATATAAGTGGGTATTTAAAATGAAAGCAGACAAGCATTATGCAACTTGTGATTCCCATAACAGGAATACAACTGTGGTCAAAAGCCTATTATTAACCAAAAATGCTTTGCTGTACACAATCCTTTGACTAGACATTTTAAGTTATGCTCATAAGCTTGACTTACAGCTCTGTGTTCCTCAGTATTTGGGTCCAAAGCCTCTGAGCTTTTTAGGAGACTTTTCCCGACCCAAAGGCCAAAAGTGTGCAATGTTTTTTCAAGTTTTAGATACACTCTCCAGAAGTTTCAGGTGCAAATATAGATCCATGTTTAATAACACAAGTTTCTGACAATAGGATTTTCCAGGATGCCTCCAGCCCCAGCTGGAGCTCACAAAGCGATCAGGACTCAGGGAGCAGTAATGCAAGATGGCTGTTCAAGGCAGCTTTGAAGTCTCAGCCTCAAGCTGGCTAAAGGCCCTACGTGAGGAGCACACATAAAACTGCAGCTCAAAGGAGCCTTATCACTATCCACCGAAGTGCCTTCCCCATCTGTAGCCTTCCACAAGGGCTTTCACTGTGTTGCCCATGGATTGTGCTGCTTAGGGCATGGCCAAAGAGCAGGCTGCCCGCAGGACCAGCCCCTGCAGATGTTTCCTTCTGAGCAGAGAGCCCACCAACAGCTCAGGGGGGCTTTGCCGTGTCAACTACGACGCTGGCTTCAAAACTGGAACTTCAGGCAGACAAGCACCTACTCAACAGCCCCATGACAGCTACTTGTTACCAGAAACTGCCAACTGTAAGTGAAAAAGACAACAGGAAACAGACTAATTGAATGTTTAAATTTCTCTCTCCTCTGCCTCCTCCACAGGACTACAACGCTTTGGTGCGTAGAGTCAGAACGAAAGGTCATCGATCACTTCTGCTTCTGAAGGGGAAGGAGGAATGGTTTGATTCGAGAAATCATAAAACAGGTAATGACAGAGTTTCTGGCAGTCTGTATCAAGAAAAATCCCACTAAAATAGGAGGCTGTGATTTGAAAAACAAGCACAGTAACACACTGCCATGCCCTGCAGCAGGAGCTTTATTCCACTGCCGAGTACTGGGACAGTAGAAATTTTCCAGGAAGACAGGGCTAACTGTGAAGCGTGTACACAAAGTTCTGCTTGCTGTGACCACAAGACCTGCAGCAGGCCTACACATTATGAAAGAAAGATGCCCATGAGTCATCTCCTGCAGACATGTCAGCCTGCCCGGGTGAAGTGGCTCCAGTGTCACTTCAAACTAGGGACAAAAAAAATGAGGCCTAGGAAGAGGGGTTTGCTGTCTGCCTGGGACACTTCATCTTACCCAAATTTGAGCAGCTGCAAACTACTCCCAAGCAGCTCTCAGCTTACTGCAGACCGGAACTAAATTTTTATAACGCCAAACCAGCTACTGGAATAGTTTTATATAAATACAGAAAACAAAATGTATGACAAGCTGCGCAGCCCTCGCCCTGAAGAGCTGGCAGCAGCAGGGCAGGTACCCATGGTCAGGAAAATGCACGAGCCTGCCTCTTCTCCTCCCTTACATGGCTGGTGCCAAAGAAGCACCCACCCAAGCAGGAGGCTGGCCCAGCTCCTTCAGGGATGGAGTCCTACAGCCCGCTGGCCAAGTGGAGAAGTGAAGAACGGTGCGTAGGAATTCAGCACCAAGAATGAGGTGAGATTATAAGCATTGATTGGAATTTAATGACCCAGATACAGCAGGCTGGTGATGAGCAAGGGATCTTCCCTACAGTTTACAAAACTGGGTCAAATTGAATGGCAGACTAGTTTTGAATAAAGATGTGCTCCAGACAGCCCACTCTGCTTGAGCAAACTGTTAGTACATGTAAGTAACTCCCCACACATCCAACGCCGAGAGTCGCTGCGCCATCCTGGCCTTCATCCGCAGACTCCGCAGGGGCAAGTGTCTGTACCTCAGTGGTTTGAACAGAACTCCCTGTGTGTCAACCTCTTTCCTGAAGGATTTAATTCCTGCCCAAGTGACTGTTTTTAAATTAAATTACGCAAAGCCTGTTAGTTCAGCTCTCGATAGCATGACACAGTAAGCAGAATTGTGCTTAGGCTGAGCTGCCAGAGGTTCAACTGCCACACCAGACCCACTTTCCTGCTCTCATGGTGAAGATGTGGCTGGTGGGAGTGTTGCAGGCTGTGGCTATTCAAACAGCCTGCCATCCCTTAGACCTCCCAGGGGCTACACCTGGCTCCTGAGAGGTTGTGTGACACTGTAAGAAAACACCAGAAAGGGCTGTACACTTTCCAGCCATGTAAATCATCTTGTGTGGCCACACATCTGAGCACAACTCCCTTCCAAAACAGGTTCCTTGCTATACTTGCCTTCACACAGCTTAACCTTCTCCTCTATAAACAGCAAGCCTTTCACAAGGAGCTGGTTCTGTCAAGAGAGAAGAGAGAGACACGTGTTTGCCTTTTCTGAGATTTAAAATAAACATGGAAGAATACATTTTTTTCAGATGTTATTCATTTTGCATGCAGTTATCTAAAGATTTGTCCTATCATAGTACTTTCTCCCAGCATGGCCACCAGACCTGGTCTCACTGTGGGCGCTGCACGTTCATTAAACCTCTCTTATTCAGCCGGACACGAGAACACAACAGACACGGCGGGTACTTAAAACACTTGCCAGAAGCAGGGAGGAAGAACTTGTCCCTGGTCACAGGGCAGGAGTCAAGAAAATAAAATGGTTCTTAACATGAGTGCAGCCATATAAGCTACACCTCAGCTATATGATGGGGGTGATCAAATGCTACCAAGATGCCCCACTCTACTCTTCCCCTGCACTAGCTCACTGCTTGCCTGACTGCACAGTAAGCCAGTTCAGCTCCCTAACTCTTCCTTCTCTACTTCTGCCTATTCTCTGAGGCCTTTCCCCCGCCCCCCATGTTGAACATTTGGATCATCTCAGCATGCAGTCTCAAGCTCCAGAGGAAAGTGGCAGGCACTAGTCTTTCTAGATAAGCTTAATTACCAAGGACCAGACAGATGAAGATATAGATGTGCCTGTTTGCAGTTCAGGACATCTAAATATCTGATAAGCTTTCTGTCCCCATTTCCCCAAATGTAAGAATGGTGCAAAACCAACATCTACTTTTTTTGTTCTCATTAGGAGAATCAGTTATTTTGAAAAGCTTTGAGAATCCCAGAGAAAGGAGCAGCTATCACTGCGTAACACGCTATTACTGCATCCTGAAAGGGTCAGTCCTACCACAGAGATCCTATTGCTAGAGAATAGAGCCTCCTGTCCCTCCAAAAGGATTCTAGATCAGTCTAGTGCACAACATTCAGAGACCTATCTCTCTCTCGTGTGCATCCTCCAGCTTTTGTTTTAATGGATAACCAGGTAAACGTTGTACATCTCAACCTCAGGCACATCTTCCAGTCCCAATGGATGCTGTTGTTACGCCACCGCATGGACAACACCATGGCCTCCTGATGAGCTGCTGCTCTGGACATTAGACCTGCCTCCTGCAACCATACACCAGGCTGGTTTGTGCATGACGCACACAAAGAAGTAACCACGTCAGCCACCCCAGGCAAGCAGAGCAGCACACCTCTGCATCCTCCCTACAAGGAGTACTGAACTGGGTTGAAGTGAATAAAAAGAAAGAAATGTTGCTCTTTGTTTGTACTCGTGGTTCACCTTCCTAAGCAAAAGAATAACTTGCCACTCAAGGGTCCTACTTGATAGCATAGAAAAGGAAGATGTAGAAAATGAAAGAAATGTAGAAAAGGAAGGGCTCTTCCTTAAATAGTTATCTAACCAGACTCCAGAAGTATTTTGCAAGTAGGTTGAGGCTGATGGACTGAAAAGACCATCATACATCCTATCAGTAAGGAAACATCTCTGGATGCATTGTCCTGGTGGAGAATTTATATTCAAAAAAGTAAGAAAATACTGAAATTAATACAATTGGGCTGAATTCAAGGAAATCCTTTTGCTTTGGAATCTCACCTAATGCAATGTGAGCTCTGAGACCCTTTGGGGGTGGGTGACACTGCAATGACCGAGAGACTTTTTTCCCTTGGCATCTTTGTCAAGATTTCAACAAAAAGGCTGTGGAAGAACAAGCCATACAAGCTCTCTGGACACCTCATGTGCTATGGGTAGCACGGAGAACTTCCATGAAAAGTTTCATCTCAAGTCAGGACAAGACTGTATGGGCATTGTCTTCTTCATGGTGTGAAGTTAGTGTGGTGTTATACAACACTCCAGAAGTGGGCGCTTTTCTTTGGTTGTCATCTCATGGCAACTTTATCCACACCAAAACATTAACTCATTTTTTGCTTCAATGGTTTGTTTGTCTCATTTGAGACAGATGTGAGTACTTTTCAGACACTGCTAAAAAAAAAAAAAACCCACACCAAACAAACACACAAACCAAAAGCCATACATTTATTTTGGAAAAAAGTCCACTTTCTGCAGGTTTTTTTTGGCTCTGGAAATCCAATAATTTTTTTTTTCCCCTGCAGAAGCTTATTTTTTTATTTATTCATCATCACCAACATGACAAAGGAAGTTGCAGGAAGCGAAGTGAACTTGTCGGTGAGAAATTTTTCACTTGGCCAGTGGCTGGGGATCTTTGTCTAGGGCTCAGTCCTCAGTTAGGATGAGTGTTAGGGCTGAGAGAAAGAGAAAGCCAGACTTCCTAGCAGAGCACCAGAAGAACAGGGCTGCAAAAGGATAGAATCATTTAGGCTAGAAAAGACCTTTAAGATCACCTAGTTCAACTGTTAACCTAGCACAGCCAAGTCCACCACTAAGCCATGTCCCTAAGTGCCACATCTACAGTCTTTTAAATACCTCCAGGAAGGATGACTCAACCACTTCCCTGGGCAGCTGTTTCCAATGCCTCACAACCCTTTCAGTGAAGAAATTGTTCCTAATATCCAATCTAAACGTCCCCTGGCACAACTTGAGGCCATTTCCTGTTGTCCTATCACACATCTTGGAAGAAAAGACCAACACCCTCCTCACTACAATCTGCTTTCAGGCAGTTGTAAAGAGTGATAAGGTCTCCCCTCAGCCTTCTCCAGGCCCCATTTCCCTTAGCTGCTCCTCACAGGACTTGTGCTCCAAACCCTTCCCCAGCTCTGTTGCCCTTCTCTGGACACACTCCAGCACCTCAGTCTTGTAGTGAGGGGCCCAAAACTGAACACACTGGTGCAGCCAGCATTTGAGATAGGTAAGCTGCATGCCTGGGAGATGCTTTTCACCTGGGCAATGACCACAGCATTTAACAAGTTGGATAAATATGTTCACACAACAAAAAAAAATTTCACTGTTCCCAAACATTTTATCAATTAATGGAAGGTGACTATTTTGTAAAGATTGTCTAGCTAAAATACAGGTTTTGGAGGGAGATATTAAGTTGTTGGGATCTCCATGCATTTTGGATTTCTTCAGCAGAAATAAATTACTATACATGTCAGGCTCTGGACAACAACAACAACAAAAACCCACAACTGATTTTCCTGGAAAAAACCCTCAACCAATGTGAAAAAGGAGGGAGAAAAACCTGAAATGGAAAAAATTATGGGGAGGGGAAAGTAAAATCCGCTCACACTGTAAATATTTTTCTCCCTGAACAGTAAGAAAATGTTTGGAGTGGCATTGCACTTTAATCTTTTCAAATGTTTTCAGCTTATTAATAAGTACTTCAATTCTTTATGTTTCAACATACAGCTCAAGTTAATTACCTCTCATACCCTGCAAGGAAAATTTACACCTGGTCTTTAATACTGTGTCATTTTAAACTATACATAATTTTAAAAAGTATATACACATATATATGAGGGGGTCATGCTTATTTTCTTCTTTCTCCTTGAAGAAATACAAATTCCTTCTCTATCTGCACTAGAACATTAGGTTTTAATTTACATATGCTTCCTGAGCACTCTGCATACAGTTTTCCAGTTTATAAGCTGCCTTGCTTATAAGTTAGTATTAATGATATTTTTTTACTTTCAGAGCGATTTTTTTTTTTTACAGCTATGTCAGCAAACAAAATACATATTTGTACACCTTTTATGGTCAGCCCAGTTCTATCTAATAAAAATAGATACATTTATCATTACCCTGAAATAAAGAATTAACAATGCTCTTATGAATCACTAATTCCATGTGCAAAATAGATTGCATCATCTCATCCTTAAGGTTTATTTTTTTAAAAAAGCTTATTTCCATATATTTACTGCAGATATCTCAATTGTCCTCTCAAATTTTCCTTTTCCAGCATAGGAGAGAGACTTTAAAACAAACAAACAATCAAACCTCAACAATCACACTTCATATCCCTTCTCTCCATCTTAAAATATCTGGAAAGTTTATTTATCTGTCTTAAGCAGTAAAGTCACAGGCTTAGAAATGGATTCAACCCAAACATTAACCCCTCAGATCAAGCCAGGCAGGTAAATTTTCATTAAAAAACCCGACAGGGTTTGCTGACAAATCAATACAATCTCATAAATGCAACCGCAGCAGAGGTCTGTACCAGACTTGGTCTAGATTACAAGACTCATTTTACTGCTTTATCCCTGGTTGCCAGAGGCAACACAGAGCTGAGAGGAAAAATAAATCTTACATTTGCAAACGAGACCAGATAAAGACTCACCATGTGACCTCAAAGGGTGCATTTATTTGAAAAAGTTAGGTGCCACCTTCCATGTGCAGTTACAGCCGAACCGAGCACTCAGGGAGGCAGTTACCCCGTCCCCAGATCAGCTTTCCCTGGATCCCCAGGGCGAAGTCCCCACCCTGCGGTTGGGATACCTCAGGCTGCTGCACACTCATTGTGGGCGCAGCCCCCTTGCCCTTACTCTTGTGGAAGGTACACATGGCAGAGAAACAAGGCCCTGAGCTAACCCCCACCTGTACATGCAGCCAAGAAATGTGGAGAACGACGTTTTGCAGCAGAGCAGAGTGAGCTTGGTTGAAGAAGTCTCACAGGTTGAAACCCCCCTACTTTTCCCAGGGCAGAAAACCCCAATAGCTGCTTCAGGTAAAAATCACCAAGAAGCACAGCTAAGAGAAAGCCTTTAACTTTTCAAACACCCTGTGTTTGGAAGGCAGGATTCAAAGCTCCAGAAAAAATAGAATCAGTTTTCATTTTTTCCACAGCAAAGGCCATCCCACAACGTGTGTGCGCTCCCCGCTCTTGCAAAGTAAACTGTGCTGCAATCACTGGGAATAAAAACATAAAGCAGTCACACACCACGCTGCCAAACGCTTTAATCTCTTCTTTTTCCCAGCACAGATATTCTCCCTTTTTTCTCCCATTTGTTACAGAAATTGAGGCCAGTTTCTCCATCCACACCTAAGGGAGCAATTCCAGTTGACCCAGCACAATGACTGAAGGTGGAAGCTGTCCCAGGCAC